TGCAGAAGCATCAAAGCCCAAGTGATGAATTTTTCAAATTGCGACACATAATGTTCCTATGAAGTCCTTTTTGCCAATTTTGTTTATTTTTATACAAGATCTTTTCTTAATTGATTTAATTTTTGAGGGCACGAAGTGACAAACACACACAATACAGCATAATGGAGACTAATGCCATCATATACCGTACCAGTTGATCACAACAAACTCTACTGCACGAATACACTTACCATAAACTTGTACTTCACAAAGCTCCAGTATAGCTTTTGTAGAGTACCAAGAGTAAGTTTTTGTTTGACGGTCGACGTAAATTGTCAGGTATCGGGTGATGCCTGTACATGTTGTGATTCGTGGAGTTAGGTCCACCATATTTTGTGTAGAAGTTTTGTCGGTATAACATATGCCACTGTTTCTCCAACCTGTTGTATTTGACAGGTATATTTGATAACCAGCGAATCGAGTCTTTTGCTGTTGTCCTTCATCTGAATGAATACAAATTTAAATAATTACAACTCTTTAGTATGTATCCTGTCAGACTTCAATAGCTATTTCTTGATTATTTCTTTCTTATATTCCATAACTGCTTTACAATGTTATATAATTTGTCGTTGCTTTTAGATGTAAAAAAATACAGACAAAAATAACGGTTAAATCAATTTTAATGTATACTGCTCGTAATACAAATGCTGAGTCTATGCACATCATTTGATGTGTTTCCTCTCGATTTCTTCCGGAATGCAGTCGTTACAACCTTTGTGAAACACAGGAGTCCAGCAACAGATAAGTGATGAAGATATAACATCAGATATATGAAGGTTTCCCCCTGAAATGTTTTCATTGAGCTAATGAAACGCATTTTTGTGAATATGAACCAACCAGTTTACGGGGGATGATGTCAAATTTTGATCGACAATTTCGTCGCAACAACTAGTATTTCGGTTACACAATTGTTAGCAGCCCTATGTTTGCCCAAGTGCGCGAGGTTATGAAAAGTAAACAGCGTCAGTTGAAACGCGACGGAAAAGACAATTTAAGTCACAGAAGTGATCCAATAAATGACACTGAAATAGACATGCTGTGGAATTCTGGTCAACTAGGTTCAAACACACCTGACAGCTTACTACAAACTTTGTGGTTTTATAATAACGTTCATTTTTCTCTCCGGTGCTCGGCAGAATATAGGGACATGTGTTGGGGTGACGTTACTCTTAGAAAAGATGGGGATAGGCACGGATTTCTTGAATTTAGTGAACGTCAAACAAAAACAACAACCGGAGAAAATCCTCGCGATATTAGAGCTGTTAAACCGAAACTGTGGGCAAATTTGGTAAACCCTAACAGGTGCCCTGTGAAAATTTATAAACTTTACCGTGAAAAACGTCCGACAGGCTACGGTGCCCCATCTGATCCTTTTTACGCAGCAACCAAACATATATCATCACCTAATAATCCAATTTGGTTTAAAAAAACAGCCAGTAGGAGTCAATAAATTGTGCACCATGATGCAAAGAATTATCAAGTTGTCGGGAATCGAAACTGAAAAACATCTGTCACATCACAGTGCTCGGAAATATCTCATTCAAAAACTCAGTGACAGTAATGTTCCCCCACCAAAATTATGCAAATTTCAGGACACAAGAACATTTCATCAAAGATCAACACAAGCAGATTTCACGAATCCTGAGCTCCGGAAAATCCATTCTCTCACCTGACATCATTTCAACGACAACTTCGTCAAGTAGGCCTATTTCCACGTGTTTCATAAAATCGTCAGGTTCTTTATCTTCGATGTCAGAGATAAGTGGCGGTTTTGAATGAATTTTCAGTGGGCCGATTAGTGGAGGGAACATTAAATATTTACCAAGGTGGTCAATCAGAACCACTACGAAAACGTATCCAAAGAGCTATAACTGAAAGTGACAGCGACTCACAGTAGGCCTGTTGTGACTGCTTGAAACGACATATGAGGATTGACGTCACAAAATTGTGAACTTTATAAAATAATTTTTCATCTGATCAATTTGGATGTCTTAGCTATTAAATGAATTGGAAATGTTTATATTTGTCATTGTTATTTTCATTGCATTTAAAACTGTTTTAATTGTTTAAATAAACAAATATGGAACTACTTTGCATTGCGCGGAACGGCAATATTATGATCGGAGTACTTTGGTTTTGACCTATATAGAGTCAGATGATAACGCATAGTTCTTACACTCGTGTCCATGTCATATTGAATTTATTAATATCGTTCAATAATTTGATATGACACGAGCCTTTCTCGTGTCATATCAAATTATTGAACTCGTTTAATAAATTCGATATGACATGGACACTGATGTAAGATCTTCTATATATATAAACGATTGTATAGTAGGAAAATTGCAATTAGATCATTAACAACAAAGTTTTATAAATGCATTTCGAGTAAATTACTATTAATCATTACTAAAGATAAGGAACAAATAAGCAATCAATGAACGGTAACTAAACTGGCTACCAGCCCCTTAATTTTTATGAAGAATTTATCGGCTGCATTTTACTATTAGCTTTTATCCCCCTAGTTTAGAATTTAGTTTCTAGAATCAGATATCCAAGTTAAAAAATAGTAGAGTTTTTTTTCTAAATAATTCAATATTCTAGAGTCAAGGGGCCAGTCTCAAGGGTAACAAATGTTCTATGGTTTACTACATTATACATTTCAAAACTTACAAGGTACCGTGATTAATTTGTTGTATTGATACATATTGGCTAAAATGTACGGATCTACTTCTTTAACATGTTGTATAAACCGCCAATATCAGAAAAAAATAAGCATTCGATTTGGTGGAAAGATACTTTTTAATTAAAGTATGCAAAGATAAAACTTTGCCAGTATTATTGAATAACCGGGCAAAAAAATATTACACTGAAATTTCTTGTAAATAACGCAAACCACTGACCTAGCAGAATTTAAACATATGGAACATCTTATATTGGTTAGCTATATCCAACGGTATTGTTATAAAATCACAGTTCTTGTGACGTCATAATCATCAGTCCGAATTATTGTCTTTTTCTCATAGCTGAGCATATGTAAATATAAAGAAAGCGTTTGAGCTTTCCGTACGTCCGTCAAGCTGCCCGATTTTCGTTTCCGCACTAGAACTTATTGACATACTACCTGACATTAATTAAGGATACTATGCTTGTACAACATCTGACGAGACTAAAGCTGTAATTGAAGAGAAATATGCTCAAATTTCAATAGGATTTAAGACACGATTGGTTAGTGTTTTTCACATTTAGCAACATTTAAAGAGCCCTTTTTCAAGGGGGAACTCATTCAGTAATTATCATATTTTGGTAAACGATTGTGACAATGTGAGCTCTAAGTTTCTTTCATTTAGTAATGGGCTTAATTTGTCTAAGATGTATGAACGTCTTAAAACACATATAGATCACCAAACCAGCCAAGGAAAAAATATGTAAACACACCCAGCGAATATAGCCAAACCATACCGATCAATGTCATAGTTGAGCATGCACGGGTACAAGAATGACAGGTTATTGATCAGAGCACCGTGCATACCACAAGTTCCTTTCGAGTATAATTTAAGAGCATGGAGCTATAGTGACATTGGTCGACATTTGATTACAATGTTATCTAGTATGAAACAAGGACAGGTTTGGTCAACGAAGAGTCGGGTCTGGGAGACCACTAGGTCGGTCATCTTGTTTTCTCTAGCAGAGTGTTCATGTCATAGAAGCTAGAGAGATGGCTTTGATATAGGTGTTTAGTCGAAACGCTTACGTTACTTATTAAAAGATTGATACACAACGCTAAAGATACGAGTTTATATTACTGTACGTAGATAGGATGCTGTTACCTGTTTTACATAAGACTGTGGATTAACATTTATGACAAACATGGCTATTACAAACTATTATGAGCATTTACGGCTTCTTTATCACACGATATGTACATATACGTATCACGTCTCCATTGTGTAAATAAAGGATACGTTTGTGAAATGGTTTTATAAAAGGTCGGAGAAAAAATAGGTTATGCGTGTCATAAGGTTATATTTACATTTGCGCTGTAAACCGCTATATAACCATTACCAGCAGAAATGCATTTCATTTGAGTATGAATAAAAAACTATCGTGAAGTAACACGTTGTTAATTATGACGTTATAAATTACCTTTATTCAATGCGAGTCTTGTCGCTTCATTTCGAATAACATGGAGAATGCCCCTTTGTCAAACGCTTGAATGACTACGGTTAGTTATTGGCGCCAATTCTAATTAAATAATACTGTTCCGTCAATGTCGTGTTAAGGACGACGCATATACAAAACGCAGTAAATAAATTATGTATTTAAGAACAACTCAATAACATTAAACAATTGTTCTAAAGTAGAAATGTAAAATAAGGATTGAACGGCTTTTTTTTTTTTTTTT